AAAGAAAGAAAAACCGGGGGGGGGGAGTGCTGCATGGAATGGGGCACGTGGCGAACGCCGTGGAGGGGGGAGAGCGTCGGCGAGAGGCGTGGAACGAACGACAGGCATGCGGCAAAACAGGCCCGACAGCCGCATCGGCGGTACGGACGGCGACGGTAACAACAAGGGCAGCGGCAGACGTGGCAGGCGGGAAGAGGACGCCGAGGCATCCAAGCCAGCACGCAACGAAAACAAAATCCAAGGAGTGAAAACGGGCTTTTTTTTTGTTGTTTTTGGATTGCCGGCTGAAATAACAAAACAAAAAAAAGGCACACAAAAAAGAGGCATTTTTACACCGAATTAATTTTTTTTTTGTTTTTGGGGTTTGTTTGCCAACGCCGTTTCCCTTTTCTTTTGCTTCGTTGATCTCCCATGCTCCCGCACTGGAAAGCGGGGACGAGGGCGCAGGGAATACAACGGGGGGAGGAGTGCGTGCGCCTGTGATGTGAGGGCAGCAGCACGAACGGAGTGGAGCACAGAGCAGCAACAACAGCTCAAGGGGCAAAGCAAGTACAAAAAAAAAAAGAAAAAGGAGGGGGGCCCCAAGTAAGCCAACCTTTCCCCCCTCAAAAGAAAATAGAACAAAACGAGGAAAAAAAAGAGTGTGTGTGGGGGGGGGAGGGGGGAAGGGCATTTTATACCGAAGAGAAGGAAAAACAAGAAAGAAAGTGAAATATTTCCGACCTTTGACCGAAAGAAGTAGTAGTAGTCGCAACAGTGCGCACAGCTGAAGAAGGTAGATGGCGCCTCTCACTCCCACTCTCTTTCTCTCTCGCTCTCTTTCCACTGCTTCACAGCGTGGTATGATGAAGTGGTGTGGGCGAAAGAGGGGTGGAGGCGTCAGCCGCTTAGTTGAGACAGAAGAACAAAAAAACAAAACAAAACTGTGCTGCAGAAAAGGTGGGAAGCAACGGGCGTTGCCGTGTGATGAGTGGAAGTATACACCACGACATGGGGCAGAAATAGCAAGCGGCTGAGTCGGAAGAACAAACAAACAAAAATACACAATGAAATGGAGAGGGGAGTCGAGGGATATAGAGTGTGTGTGTGTGTGAAAAGGAACGCTTGCCGATGAACTTCTTCCGTCGCGCCCTATATATATATATATATATATATACATATACACACATACATATATACATATATAATATATATATATATAT